GTATGCAGGGATCAAAGGTCCACGATGTCATTCCCAGAATAAAGTGTCAAGCTGTCAAATCTCTGTCACAAAACACCCACACACCGTAAATTTAAACGGAGACCGATAAAGTAGCGGTGGCATATAAGTTAGGAAACTTTTCCAAGCACCGAGTGCATATATTGCTTATAAATTCCATGCTGCTGCGAGGACCTGGATTTAACGTGATCTTCCAAAGGTATTAATTATACATGATGCTACAAGAACTCGTACTTTAAGTTGCCTAACTATTACAGATTGAAAATCACCAAGTTCTGAATGCGTGCTTAAAACAAGCTATGTGTGGTTTGACGAAATGTCAGTGATAGATTTTCAACATGTAATGCATTCTCAAATCTACGTTCATCAGCTATTTGAGCATTACATCATTACAAGTAGGGTATGCAATTCCCTGTCAAAGAAAACTCTCTTACATCATCATCATCATCATCATCATCGTCACCTCCAGAGTTTTACCCACTTGATCAAGCTGTGGCTTTTCATGATATTCCATATAGAACTGCAGATTCAAGAATTATCGCCAAAAGAAATATAGTTTCCCCTTGCATTCCAGTGATAGCTATTGATACGGAGTAAACACCATGTGAAGAAACACCGTGTTTATGTGGTCTATCTGTCCTCATTGACCTGTACACTTCCACTATCAGGTACGTATGCAAACTTCTGGGGCAAAATTCCACCACTTTGATTTTGGTCTATATGTTTGAGCGTTGAAGCAAAGAAGTCCAATGATGTCACAGACAGTGGACACAAGCAGAAAACGGAGAAGTGAATCAATCTCAGTTCGAAAAAAATTCTAACACATCATCACATCAAAGATAGCACAGATGTAGCTCTGTTCAGCAACTTCAATCGGAACTTGACTGTAACATCCAACTGCCGCGTTTTTTACATCGCAAGCTCCAGTATTGGGGGTACTACAAGCCACAACTGAGTGGCTGATATCTACCCCAAACTCCACAATAACCACCACCACCACCACCACACTTTCCAGTTGGTGGAAAACACCCATGGCTTTATAGATGACAAATCCACACCTCAAAGTTGCTGTAAAGAACATCAAAACAGAAAACCACCGTATGTAGTGTACTGTAACCCGTCAAAGTGAGGCCCCCAGTAAATACCATCCAGTACTGGGAACACATCACTGTACATTGCCATTAAGACCATAGCAATGTTCGTATGTTCCAGTACTCCAAATAACAATTACCAGTGTAATACTGGAACTTGTCCCAGCTATTTCATATGCTATATTACATAGGAATGTAAGTCACTCATAGTACAAATCCAGGACCCGTCCTTCATGGTCTACTATTACACCTCCAACTGCCCCTCTCTGCAAAACCTAAGGTCCTAACAAAAAAACCCCTAAGTAAGGCACTCCGAGAACGATATTCAAAGCGCATGTTGAAAACCCTAATAGCAGCTTTACACGTTCTGGAGACCGCCACATACACGAAGCGAAATTTTTTGACACATAGAATGCCACAGTCACGTGAGATATACCAAAAGGCCTCACGTGCAATGTAGTAACGCCACCACAGAAGCCCTAGAAAATTTTAGAAACCAACTGAGCCACAATTTTGTTCATGGCTTTACCATTAAAAGTCATTTCCAAAACAAACCACAGCATCAACCGAGAAAACAGTTTTCACACTTTTCATTCACTCCCATAAAGAGCTGACTAACTAACCATCACGTACTTATCCCCCTTGGGTTCATTTCTTTTTTCTGTGTAACGGTATTGCTCATTTGAGGTGGATCATTAGTACAAGATGAACAACGGGAATACAAATACAAATGCAGGCACTGACCCTCAATATCAGACTCCATATAATGACAACATCACCCCAGCAGCATTATTGGAACAGCTAGTATACGTTGATACATTCATGCCTGAAATTGACGATCCTACACAACTTGACGAAAGGCTCACTGCGGAGCTTAGCGCCTTTGCTGATGACTCCTTCATCTTCCCAGATGAGGAGAAGCCAAAGAAGCCTGAAGAAAACGATAATAACGAAGGCCACAACAACAACAATGGTGTGGCTAACGGTGATTTAAATCTGAATAGCCAATCGCTATTATTCAACAATTTGAACAACGGTACTAATTCCAGTAATCTTGGAATTTCAAACCACACTGCTGGATTGCCTATCAACTCATTTGGTAATGGGATCAACAGCATGCTACCGCTAAACTCTCTGAGTAATCATAGCTCACCGAGTGCAAACATATACTCGTCCTCAATCAACACCGGGAGTAATAACTCACGCACTAATGGGAAACCTACTGACCTTTTGTCAACTTTACCAAAAGTACACGTCCCCCCAGGAGCACAGTCATCTTTGATTGCAGCAGGGTTATCGCAAACACAGATCGATGCCCTTGCAGCTTTAATCGCACAGCACCAAGGTGGATCGGCTGAGTCGACATCGCCATTGCCACAGAATTCATTGGGCAGTACGTCGAGGCTCAATTCCATAGATCACACGTTCCAGGCTCATTCTCCTCTGAATAGTATTTCAGTTAATCCACTGACAACGTCTCTCTCCACGGAATCTTCGGCTCAAACTCCAGCTTCCTCCTCAAGTATTGCACAGTCGTTACGAAACAATGAGAATACACAACTGCCGCCTGAATTGGCTGACATTAAAGTTGAACCTACTGGCGATGTTGAGCTTGACAAGAGACGTCGCAATACTGCGGCCTCTGCAAGATTTAGAATCAAGAAAAAGATGAAAGAGCAACAATTGGAAAGAAGTGTACGTGAATTGACTGAATTGTCTATGACTTTGGAAAAGAAGATCCAAACGTTGGAGATGGAGAATCGACTCTTGAGGAATCTTGTTGTGGAGAAAGGAGAACAGAGAAACAATAACGAGTTGGAGTTGTTAAAACAAAGAGCGAGAATGGCTAATGATAATGAATTCAACTCTGGAGCTGGTTCTTCAAGTGGGTTTAATCCAAAGGGTAATTAATATGCTTCTTTATTTGTGTTATTTACTTTACAATAGTGCGATTAAGCGATGCTTTTCATGCTGAGTAATGTAAGCCCTGTTCCTGCCTAGCCTGTAGAGATATGTATGTGTTGAGGTGCTTCCCTTTTATTGTTGACAAGAAGAGGTTGCTTCCAAGGCTTCAACACAATCTTATAGAATTTTGTCCAGTCAGCAAAGGAACTTCGTTAAACAATAACTCACTTCCCAGAATAGATGATTCTTTGATGTTGGAGAAGATTGTACCTGGGGTATCTACATAAGATGCGTAGTTTACAATTATTATTAAGAGGCTAACCACTTAAGAAAATGTCTGAACACAGGCCACCAAGATGAGTGTCGATATAACAGGGGAAACAGACATAGGAAAGCGCTCAAATACTTGAACAAAGCTTAAATCATGGTTGGTATCTGCCAAGCTGCTGTGTGCACTAGACTCGATTTCGCGCAGCTGTGGCTGAATCTACTTTCTTCTTGTTCATAGATTTAGTCATTGGCGTTCACAGATTTACAGCACGAAGCTTATAGGAAATTAA